TTTATTATACAATATCTCTTTAGTTTTAATAAAGCTGAATAGGACCTTTGGGTACTTCACTGTTGATTCTTCTTTCTTTAGGAGCTTTCTTGCCTTTAGCAGTAAAAGCGTTACTCAATTTTTGGATCACTAGAAGCTGAGTTTATAATCAAAAAGAATTGTAAACAAGAAAGTGTGGAGTATAAATAATTCCTGAAGATAAATCTTCAAGTTGTTTTAAGAAAAATATGAAGATTTTATTAGCGTAGAAGTTAAAAACTTCTTGCAAACATCTTTCTTTTTTATGTGTGATCAGAGGATCAGTGGAAAGAGTTTTTTGTAATACAAACTATTGATTATATTATTATTATTATTATTTTAAAAAAATATTTTTAATCATATTTAAAAAATTGAAGTTCAATATAATTTAGAGAATACTTAATTGAAAAAAAAGGAAAAAATCTTATTTTTGAGTTTTATTTGATCAAAAAATTTTTTATCTAGATTAATTTTAATTTAAATTAGTACTTATATTAAATAAAAATCGGAGTTTATAACTTGGCAATATGTTTATAAAATATTTAAATAAAAGCATATTATAATTTTATTAATTATAAAATAAAAAAATAAAATTTTAAATAAATATCATTTTAAAAAAGTATTAAAATAATGGATGAAAAGAGTATATATCTTTTAACAATATTTAAAATTATTTAAATCTTCAAATTATCCAAGATTTTGTGAATTTATGTATTAATTAATTAAAGAAAAATTATAGTTTTTTACGATATATGGTATATATTTTGATGGAATAATTTTGATAAAACTTTTGAAAAGTCCTTCTTCAAGAAATTATTGGAACAATAATTTTTTTTCAAAAAACTAAAAATTTTTAATATAACTCCTGTTAATATTTTATTTACAGTATAAAGGTTTTATATACAGCATAAACCATGATTTATTACAAGTAAGGGTACGGCGATCGCAGGTTCAAAAAAAGTAATGATTATGTCATCCTATTAACTGGTTGGAAATCGAATTACCCGAGCGAGCGGCGAAATTTTGAACCTTGAATTTTCAAAAGGTCTGGTCTTGAATTTCAACAATCCATTAAATGCGTGCTTGAGAGGAACTTTGTCAGGGAAGGAATCGGGAAGGGAAAGTTTTTAAAAGTCTAATGTAATAAATAGGTTTGAGGCAAGGTTCGGTCAAGTAACACACTTGAGGGGTCGCTGTAAAATTTAAAAGTTTAGTGAATGTCGTTATTGATGTCTGTTTAATTTGACCATTAAACGAAAAGAAAAAAAATTTTGACAGAACCACCGTAAAACACAGTACGACGTCTCTTCCTCGATAACATCTAATCGCCTAACAGGCTAACATGCTTCCGTAAGTTATTTTTCGCCAAAGGACCAACAATCATCGCTGTATACTGATAATGACCAAATAAGTTCTATAATAAAACAATCTTAAAAATTCTTCATTCAATATTCTCAATTATATTCGTCCAGTAGGTTTTCGGTTGAGGATATTTTTCGGAACGAGTTGACCTCACCCGAAAACCGATCTTCTTGAATTCACGTGCACTGTACGTGAAGATACTTGTAACTAACCTTTGTCGACAAATTTTAATCAATCAATCAACAAGGTTCAAAAAAGTTCAAACATGTCGAACACATCCGCGAATGGGATAATAGAGTGCAGAGGATTCTAAGAGGCTATCATAACGAAGGCAAAGATGGGTTGGCTACCTTCCATGTCAGACCTCCTTCATCGAACGAAAACACCCTCGCTTAATTTTCGCCGGCGGTGTGACGTCGTCTCTGTTAACAAGGATAGTGACAAAGGCGGCGAGATGAATGGATGGTGTAAAGGGCGGTAAAAGGTGTTGCTTAATGCTACTGGTTCCTTGTCTTTTGTCAGATATTTATCTTTATTTACTATTATTATTATTATTATTATTATTATTATTATTATTATTATTATTTTGTTCCAGCGAGATCAAAATATAAGTTCATGGTGGTTGAGTGTTAAGTATTAATTAATGCAAACAAACTCAAAAGTAAAGTCACGTGGACGTCGAAATGAATAGAAAGGGAACGTTCGTGCTGGAAGAAATTATTTTCTCAAGATTTATTGTTGTAGCACAGTTCACAATGTCACTATTTACAACTGCAGCCCACAAAGATAACTTGTTTGATGAATAAAATAGCTTAGCCGAAAAGGTCGCGTTTTCAAAGGAGTTATTCGCGCCGGAATTGAAAATCCGCCCTCAATCTAACAATCTAGCCTGCCTTTACATGTGTGTCCCTTTGATACCCAAAGAGAAAATTGCGGAAAGAAAATTGTTCGCATACAGATGGAATCTTTACCATATCGGTTGCAATGCGCGGAATATATTAGCCTGATTTTTTTTTAAAAAGAAAAAACAACGCACATCACATATCTTTTCAACAAGTTTTCTTGTTGCATAATTAGATGATAACCTGCATCTCTCCGCCGTTACGAATTTCCTTTTTTCTTTGTCGAATTGTGCACAAAATCGAAAATATCGACATAAGGCGCACGTACTTCTTTTCGGTTCTCTTGCACTTGGTGAATTGACGTCAAATTTGGATATCCTTATCACTAGTATGAATCTTGAGATGTTGCACCACTTAAAGTGGATAATCCGGATGGTAAGATGAGGCTCCGAATGATACGAATTTGGCAAATACAACAATGCTTCGGTTTGATATGAACTATTCGTATGCATATATTGTTTATTAAAAAAAAAAAAAGGACACTTGCGCGGAGGTCATTCTTTCCACTCTTACTGTTCACTTACTGTCCACAAAAATTTAGAAAGACGCCTAGCAAGCAAAGGGGACATATCGAAGCACATAACCGGACTGTCGACGACGGTTGTTCTAACAAAAATTGAGCAAGCGTTTCTATTATCGCTAAGGTTCTCTCTTTTTTTTTTTTTCGGTAAGGAAGCATTGTTTTTCGTGAAATGGTTGACCTTCTGTTTATGAAGGTAAACAGGGTTTTCCAAGATTGACCACCGTCCAAAAAGATTATCTATAATAATAATAATTCAAGATGGATAACTGTTCAAAGGGATTAGCCTAAACCCCAAAAGAAAGAAATAAAGAAATTTCTGATATCCAACCGAACGTCGCAAAAGAATGGAATTCACCATTTCCTGTTGGATATTCGTCGCATTGCTGAGGTAATGCCCAAATTTAACCGCAATAGCTTTCAATTTCACTGTGGCTTATCTTCATCTTTTATGTGCGACGAATATAGAGTATTAAACCTGGCATTAAGTCTTTCCTACCATTCACAGTACATTGATTGATCCAGGGGTACGTGTGATGTAATTTTGTGATCCCAATAATCTCACATCCTTCTTATCACTAATTTCACGCTTGAAAGCTTAATCCGGTTTCCGAGATATTCCCCTTGAAACAAAACTCCTATGGGCGATTAAAGAGTGGGTTGAACACATTGTTGGGTGTAATAATGTGTAAAGAATCGCCTCGCGTGATCATTCTTCTTGAGAGAGTCCGTTTTAACAACCTCATCTCACCTTTCAATCATCCGGTGACTCTTTTCCGATGATCACAGTGTGATGGTTACAATAGGACAACAATTATTTGTATAACATCCTTCCAAAACGAAGAATCAATGGACACTTTTCCACAGATGGATGCAATGCGCACGTTAACCGCGTGTCACATAAATCCCATACATCTTGACATATAGAGGTTAGCGATAGTGAACGATGTATATTATACCGCCAAATTTTTAACCAAGAATATTCTAATAATAAGATTATCATGTACGGAATAATCATTTTTCAGGCTCAACATTTCCAATGGAAAATGCCATAGAAAAATTTGATACGATAGGAGAACGTGAAAGAATCAAAGGATTCACCTCCTTTCATGTTTCCCATATTTGCACTGTTGGTATCACAAAATCTATTCATGCAAAGATCTGACGAGTTACGGTATATGGGATTGTGGGATTGGAGGTTTGGGAGAGATCCGTAATGCTCTTCTTTAATTGCTTAATTGCGGTAAATTTGATCGTCTAATTCAACCCATTCAATATTACCAACTTGAGTAAGCTTTTGATCGAGAACCATTTTCAAATTCACATCTGATCTATACCACCAGGACCGCTGCGCTGACGAAGATAATCGAAAACCGACTTCTCATGCTAATAGAAAGATTCCATTCTTTTTTTTTTTAAACATCTCACCTCATATTTATGTTGTTGACAAGACCAGTATAGTGGCAGCTGAAGGGATTCTTTCACATTGAGAATGACAGGATCCCTTCGGATAAAAATCTTTCAGAAAATTCCAGGGATGTTTTTTTTCGTTGTCACTGCAGCTTTCCTTTCATGTCGGCGGCTCACGCTACACCTTCACAAAAATAAAATAAAATAAAATATTTGCTAACGTTAATAAGGATTATAAGATGAATGAATTTCCACATCATGTGACTTTCATGTTTTTAGAAAGCTCGAAAGGCCTCAGTGTTCAATATTCACCGTATTCACCGTTCACCGACAAAATAAAAAAAGGCGCCGGAAACCGGCAGGTCCTTCCTCATGGCATGCACACATTGGTCGAAATACTTCGTAAGGTCACAATTTACAAAAAATCAAGGTTGATAAATATTTCATCTGCAGAGAGCGAACATCAAAGTGTCATTTCGATGTTCGTCCTTTTTTTTTTTTTTTCCTCAGATGTGTGCGTTACATTCAGCGTCTAGGGTTTAAAAAATCGTGTATTTATTTGTTTATTCGAAAGTTTTTTTTTTACAAATAGTTTTAGACAATAATACTGTATATATATGTTGTATTTATGTGTGTGTTCATGTAGAAAAATAAAATAAAATGCTATATAGATGAACTCGGCATGTTTTCAAAAGAGGCGGTAGGCATAATTAATTAACCATGAGAATATTTACATGAGCTTAGAAATATCAAAGAGGAAACAACTTTGTCCTTTACTCTTATAGACGCTAATAATCGTGAATTTCAAAACAACTATCCTGTGGAGAGTGCTCCTGAAGGAAGTACTCTTCCCAAAGAGCAAGTTCGTTTTCTTCTAGCCGTGGCGTCGATGCAAATGTAAACTCACTTGGACTCATCAATAGTTCCGTCATACCGGAGATGTCAAATTCACTATATGAGTTCGGCCGCGGACAAGGGGAAAGATAATTTGCATAATATGAGGAAGAAGGCGACGGAAAACCGAACGATGTGAATGGTAATGGGCTTTCGAGGGGAGAAACATATGCATTGAATTCGGCCTCTTCATCATTCGTATATGGCAGAGGAAAGCCTTGCGAAAGTGTTAGGCTTTCACAAGGGGATCTATATGCATTGGTTTCGGCCTCTTCGTTATCTAACGTGCCCGTATATGGCGGAGAAAAGCCTTGCGAAAGTGTTAGACTTTCACAAGGGGAACTATATGCATTGGTTTCGGTCTCTTCGTTATTTAACGTGCCCGTATATGGCGGAGAAAAGTCTTGCGAAAGTGTTAGACTTTCACAAGGGGATTTATACACATTGGCTTCGGCCTCTTCATTATTTAATGTGCCCGTATATGGCGGAGGAAAGTCTTGCGAATGTGTTAGACTTTCACAAGGGGATTTATACACAATGGCTTCGGCCTCCTCATTATTTAACGTGCTCGTATATGGCGGAGGAAAGTCTTGCGAATGTGTTAGACTTTCACAAGGGGGTTTATACACATTGGCTTCGGCCTCTTCATTCTTTGATGCGGCGGCATTTTTATTCTTTGACGCGACCTTTTTATTCTTTGACGTGGCCTTTTCATTCTTTGGCGCAACTTTTTTATCCTTTGGCGCGGCCTTTCTACCATAACCACAAACCGGCACATTGTCACCATGCTTCTCCCTGAAAAGCATCCTCGCCTTATATGCCAGCTCCCCGTAACAGTCTTTTTTATATTCTGGAAGTTTCCTCCAGCACCTACCGATTGTCCTCGATAACGCAGTCTGCGAGTAGGTTCTTCCTTGTCGGTGTAGTTCCCTTACATAATACATTCTGAAGATAAAGAAGCGGTTGGGTGGCTTCGATTTACTCTCGAGGTTTTTATTTAACATCAACACCTCTTCAACAGTGATTTTAGGAGGAAATGGAATAAACTCGAGTGGTTCAATGATGATGTTTTCACGAGCCAATTCCTTGCGTCTTTTCTTTTCCGCCTGACTCGGCGTACTTCCAGGAACTTCTTGTATGAAAAGAATGTTCGATGCGAGTCGAGATGGTCCGGAGCAGGATTCGTCGCTTGAACGTCCACATAGACTAGGGTCACAAATTGGTTGACACATTTTCGAGAAGTAAGATGAAAGCGTGGAATGGAATTCGTTCGCGAAAAGTAAAAATATCGAAAGAATTTCTGTTCGAGATAATATTGCTAATAATAACAGGCTAAAGAAAACAAGTCGCTTGGTTTTTTTTTTTTTTTTTTGATTTTTTTTTTTTTTTTGGTTTATTTTTCAGGTGAATGGGTGGGGATGACCATGGTCAAGAGAAGATAGCGTCGTATTTATACATGACGACGCGAGCAGGCGACAAAAGGATTGCTTAAAAAAAAACTTGAAAGCAACAAGATTTTTTTTGTGTAGCTAGCTACATGCAAATATGCAAATTCAACAAACACTAGATGTCACCATATCCACCATATCACATCTCACATCATATCACAATTATGCACTCTTGCAATAAGTTTGACGGGTGTAACGAGAACAAAAAAAACAGGGTTGTTGTACATAACGAAATAGGAAAGAAGTATCTGGTAGATGTTCCGTCCTTGCACGGCCCTGATTTCTTAGGTTTCCGGGGACGAAAATTTCTTCAAACAAGGAATCGTCAAATACACATACATAGTCTACTCTATCCTGTTTCGGAAAGTCCCCTACGGATGGTTAAATGGAAATTAGATGCCGCCCATAGAAATTAACCATCGTGTAACCTCATAACACATACAGTATATTGACGAAAGTAAATTTGCACGAAAATAATGCGTAAAATAAATAAAGAGCTTCGTGTGAGAATACGGATGTCCTAAAAGGGACACAAACCCCATTCATCTTTTAATTTGCATTTTTGAGATTATCTGCCGGAATCGCGAGTCCCTTTTGGTATTCGAAGAACGAGGAACTCGGAACAATTCCGTGGGAAATCTTAGCGCGAGACAAAGATATCCAATTGCAAGTTCTAAGCCTCAGACCTTCGGTCGAGGTTCGCGTTCATTCGACTTGGGGAATCGTGAAAATTAATTAATAATTTGAGTTCACACTGCTTCCCTAACCAGGAAATCAACCGCGGAACAAAATCTCCCACCAGCATTAAAAAAAAAAAAAAAGGTAGTCAATATGATAAAATAATAAATAATAATAAAATAAACAAATACACATCATTTTTTTAAAGCAAACAAAGGTTTCGTTGATCAATCCACTTTACGCCTATCTATCTATTCGCGTGATGTGCTTGATTCCTAATATGTCGAATACACGGCATCTTCTATTACTTTTTTTCAATAATTTATTGTTATTTTAGACAATCCATCGTCCTCTGGAGTGGACTTCCAATCAATTATTGATTAAGAGGAATTTGATATTCACGACCAGCCAGGCATTCCTTCGTCTCCGGCACGTGTTACGTGGGAAATGCCACATTTCCATAGGCGTATCGCCGTCTAGTACGTAACGCTTTCAATGCATGTCACGCGCGTGAGCGAAGAATGTATTCCCATCTTCGGCAAAGAGCAGTATGGATGATGATGAGGTGGGATTGTGATTGCTTCCTGAAACTTATGAAATTGAGGCACAATGTAAACAGAGAACATCAAGACCATGTCCTATTCTAGCGACATGCGACACCTTCGCGAATGACCTCGAAAAATTTGGCGTAAATACCTGCGACAATGACCAGATATTTTGCGCGGACGTCTTCTCGACAGGTCATCGGATTAATGGTTTGTAATCTTTGGGGTCAATTATCCAGGGGGAGACAAGGATTGCCACGAGAATTCTTATTGTTTTCCTAGAACAGAGTGCATGATCCAAAATAATTGGAATTTAGGCGTGATGCTGTGTACCTGCACGTGTTTCACATGCACATGTACCCGCGTTGGATCGGTGCATGTCATATTTGGACAAATCTATTGTGGAAATAGAGTCGAATAAATTCAAAGCACCGATCGATACGCACCTATTACCATAAATTCTAATCTTATTGTATTCACTATTAGCACGTGATGAATTATGGGCAACGATCTCTTTCTTTTTCCTTCCCCGAAGAACCTGCTAGAGCAAGCAAGATGGGTTGCTTCCTTAGGCGAGGGACGATGGAAAGTGATTTCCGTGTCGGTCTGAGGTTCGCGCGATTGACCTCAAATGATGGGTTGTACGGGTCACGTGGAATTCCATCGTAAACGAAGGAAAGTAGCAAAAGTTGAATTTCCCGAACACTTCGTGACCCTCGCACCTACGTAAGGCCCAGGTCGCAAACTTGTTTGGGCATCATTGATGCGTCCGTGTCGTGGGCCATGTGTGTGGTCAATTTCACAATGTAACCATTGTAACCAACCCATCTCTATTATTTTCCGTGGTCGGTTCTTTCTTATGCCGGCGGGCGACATACAGTATCTCGTTTTTTTTTTTTTTTTTTTGATGATCTGTTTTTGCCTCAAGTCATCTGCCCTTTGTATTATCATGATGCATAAATCAATCTGCATGATCCCAGCTGCCAACAGAACAAACAAATTTTATTCCTTTTAGCATCATTGAATATGTTAAAAATAGGAATCAATCAGAAATCGGGGTATCGTATAAACCCAGGATCAACGCTTTCCCATGCGTGTGATGATGAGCATGTGTGTATCATTTTCTTAAAAAAAAAAAAAAAAAAAAAATGCGCACCATACAAATTGCATTTAACCAGAAGAGCAACCACCGGACCCCAACGTGATGCAAAACATCTCACGCATTTATCAGACACTTGCCTTTTCCGCCGACGTAATAAATATTCTGGTGACTCATGTTTTGATTTTTCCGCATTCAAAAATGAATCGTCGTGACACATTAAATGATCTACCTGCGTTATCGCCTCATCATCTTCTGTTCTCGTGATTTTCCTTACCTCTTCGCACTTTGAACTACTACACCGGTGTTCACGAAATCTCAAGATAGCCGTATTCTTTCTTCCACCTCCCCTGATTACGTAAATATAAACACACTCGCGACCTGCATGCGACGGACGTGAGATGTCAGATGATGTTTGGTCGTTGACCTTATGAGAGAGTCACATGAATCACCATGCATGAAGCGAAAGAAAGGATCTCGTTCGGGTTTAGAAAGTCCAAGGGTGAATCTTATAAACGAATGTCTCGTGAACAATGGAGAAATAAAACAATAATTATGCCTGTGACATTGGGGTCGACGTTTACCTAAACAACACGTCGATCATCGTTCGATCATTGGATCCGGAGATGTGAATCAGAGAACCAGCTGATCGCACTTTTGGGACACAAAGTAACTAACTGGCTTGCAAAAAAATTTATTTGTTTTTACGTCACACTGTCATAATATTATTGCGACCATTCCTTTTTGGTTTTGAATTGAGTCTGAAAACTACAATGCGATCGATACGATACACGAGACAATTCATATCTTTGATTAACAATATCTATCAAATTCACAATTTGAAATACTGTATATGAGTTAAAGTTGATGACAACACAAATATCACTTGCCACGGCTAATTAATTAAACTAGAAAATATTTTCATGCAAGTATAATTTATGAAGCTTTCGTTGCATACCTTCGCTTATTAATGCTACACGACGTACGTGTAACGACACAGGGACCAATACTCTCGTGATCCAGTCCATGCACCCGCATGAGGTTATGATGTTTAATGCGGCGCACACAGAAAGTGTAAGAGTGACATTCTTATTATTTTTATTGTAATATATATACAGTATATATACAGTATATACTGTATATTATTATTATTATTATTATTTTTATTTTATTTTATTTTTTTATTTTATTTTTTTTAAATGAAAATAATAATAAAAATAATAAAAATAACAAAAAAGAAAGCGAAATCATTTCACGACAACGCCAATTAGTTGAAGAATTCAATTAATTAATTAATTGTTCATTATTGCTTCAAGCGATCGCCAGGGTTTTTGTTTATGCCTGGTGCGACCCGAGTCGGAAGGCGAATGCCGACGAGTCAACCACTGGTTACGCATTAAATTTAAATCTCGACTGTTTGATTGGTGTTAAAAAAGAAGAAGGAGGAGGAGGAGGAGGAAAGAAAGGAAAGGAAAGGAAAGGAAAGAGAAAACAATATAAAAAAAAAAAAAAAAAAAAAAAAAAAAAAAAAAAGGAATTTTTTTTTGTGTTGTGTTGCGTTGCTTTATCTCGTCATTACTCCTTTCATCGCACCCCTTCTTAAGCAAGCAGTTTAGGTTAACACTTATCTGAAGCGACATTGTAGGGAACCACTCGATTTTTAATTGCTTGTTATGGAAGGGATAATGGCGACCAGAAAAGTAAATGTGCTAACCCAATTTCTCTATAAGGTTAACATTGAGATTACAATTGTTGGCTCATCTTATTGGTTTACCCTGAGTTTCCAAATGACGGGATTGTTATTTTTAGAGTATACAGTATCAGGGTAAAAAGAGTCGAATGCTTATTCGTCCATCTTGCAATTGTCGTCAATTGTCATGCATGATTAAAGTACGCTGCCGTGCGACACCTGAAACAATCGAACTCATGTGACATTCATAAAATTCTTCCGGAAGATCTTTTTTGGCATAGAATTGAAATGGAACTGCGACCACCGGAATTATCTATTTCAAGTTTCAAACTCTATTATTGCGAGATTTGAGCACGAAATCTCTTGCATCTTCGTGAGCCGAGGATTAGGAAGAAAACAGATGTTTGTTCTAATGTTTTCTTCTAAAATCGCGATAAATTTCCATGGTGAATTTCTAGAACTCTGGTGTCACCCACCTCACGCACATCATTAACTTCAATGGGGAAAATTGACATTTCTATTTTTAAGTGACCTCATCAAAAGAGGATGGATCAGGTGTTGCCGCAGTCTTTCTTGCATCTCCCAATTAAGAGTGCATTCTTTTTAGAAATTTATTCTTAATTTATTTATTTGTTTGTTCCGAGTGAAGAGTTGATTGAGATAATTGGGAAATCACCCAGGGCATGTCTCACTCGTCACAGTGACACCTGAAAAATCTCGGTGAAAGACTGTTGAGCACGGAAAAGCAACTGCGAAAGTTGAAAAAAAAAAAAGATGAAAAGAAAATTTATTGTACGCTGTTACCCAATTTGATCGTGGGCAAAATCACACACGCCAAGCTTCGCAGCTGTATACCAATTAAATTGATGCGATGGGTTGAAAGGTGGAGATGGTGACCCTGCGATCATATTCTGTGCATGCGTGTGTTTGCATCATGCTCCTCCATATTTTAAATTCAAAGAAATAAATAGGAATGTGATGTTACGTAGATGTAATCCGACAATAGCGAAATTGAGAGACTTCATCACTAGATGGACCGTTGGGGGTGGGGGGTGGTAATCGCAATGGGGTAAGATGCTCTAGACCTTAATAGGTTAAATCAACGATCCTTTCGTCTACAATGGACAAAAACTATCGTCCTCCCTAAAATATAGAGGGATTATTAGTTGCTTTTTTTTTTTTAAGGGTACGGGCTAAGAACAAGGGTTTCTGGTTTTAATGTTCACCGAACTCCTGATTCTTTGTCGCGTAATTGGAACTCTTGTACCTAGATGTTCGTGTGATCAACCAAATAAGGAATCGGTGGAACATTCGTGCTCGAGTTTCAAGAACACCATCTCTTGAAGTCGTGCTTCCGTACTCCGTGCGGAATACGATAAATTTAGGACGCGTTACCTTCAAATGACCGAATTAGCAAAAAAGGCGAAGTTGACGCGTCCCTCATTCTTGCCTGGAATAATAAATACAATCAATTGTGTATACACGTCGCACTTCATTACACTTTGTACTTACACTTGTAGACTGTCCGACGCATACTGTAAGTTGCATGCGCACGTCGTCCAGTTAGTTATTCAATATAAATTGCTCATCTGGGCTCTGTTTACGAAAGATAAGGTGTGTGTTGACAAACCCTACCCTACTCTCTGTCGATAACTATTGTATAATTCTATTGAAGAATTCCATTGATGACCTCTTCTGAGAAAAAATTGATTTTTTTTTTTTTTTTTTTTTTTTTTTTTTTTTTTTTTTTTTTTTTTTTTTTTTTTTTTTTTTTTTTTTTTT